GATTTACAGTGTATGTAGTGGGCTACCAACCCGGACCACCTGTAAGGCGCATAATGGCAATTTTAATGGCTTCTGAAATTTTCTCTCAAAGGGAAATTTTCGAAGACTCTTCGGGTCAAATCTTTTAATTGGTCCATAAGTACCCCCTTACCAAGTGGCATTGCTTGACACAAAAATGCAGTATCCCCCTGGACTCAGCGATGTAGACCACGCACTAACGGGGCCAGGAGGGCGTGCGCGGCCGAGGCAGGCAGGCCCGTGAAATGGCGACACGTCGACACGTCATAAAAAAAAAATCCGTCTTAGAGAGAACAGAAGAGAGGGGGAGGGGAGGGGGCGGTAAAAATACAGATTGGCTGGCGAGATATTTCACATGCATGAGGTGTCATATCCAACACCGCGTGTTACAGAGTGACACAGTAGCGTGTTGTGCCGATGCGCGCCCAAGATAGTGTGGCGAGTGGCAGGTGGGGGTGGGGCAAGGTGGCAAAGGTAGTAGGGGAGAGAGGAAGGGAGTAGGGGAGAGAGAGAGAGAGAGAGAGAGAGAGAGAGAGAGAGAGGGGGACAGAGAGAGAAAGAGGAGGGGGTAGTGAAGACCTCCCCGGCGGCCCCTCACGACACGGATTGTGGTGGGATCACCGGCCGGGCCGCGCAGCAGAGCCCGGAGCAGAGCAGACCCGAGCCGGGGGTGACCCGCAGGACGGAGAGGGAGGTCGTGGCGACTCTTGCTTGCACAATGTATCTTCCGTTGGCGACGATCCAGGAGAAGGAGGTGGAGACGGAGCAAGAGGATGGGGAAGGCGCGGGCGGGCAGTCCGCTGGGAAGGGGAGGAAGGGAGGGGCAGCAGCAGCAGCATGCTCGCCCTCCCCCAACCAACCGAACCAGGCCCTCTTTGTGGTTGGATGGCGTCCTCCGTGTCGCGGTCGCAAGCGCCAACGCAAAGGCGATTATGGAAAGAACGCGATTACACAGTCGACATCAATTGGGGGGGGGGGGGGGGGAGGACTCGTGACACTGCGAACACGATCTGGTTGGGGCGGCTGGAGCTGGAGACGTAGAGGGAGAGAGGGCGCTGCGACGGCTATGAGGCTCGAGCGGCTCGCTAGAGAGGTGTTTGAAAGGATGGGCGCGCTCCGTGTGACTGCAGGGGCTGCGAAGCTGGAGGGCCTCAAGGCTGGAGCGGAGTAGGGCGTTGATCCGTCAGCCGTCTCTCATCCCCCACTCCCACCCCACCCGGCCTGCTAGCGGCGGGCGCCCAAAGTGTTGTTAAGGGGGAGGCGAGAGGTGCGTCGTGGAATGTCAAAAATGCGAGGCGGGCGGGCGGGCGGTGGGCGGGCAGCGGGCAGGCAGGAGGCGGGCAGGAGGCGGGCAGCGTCCGCCAACGGGCAGCCGGCTAATAAGAGTCGAGGAGGTCCAATAACGGCACAAAAATGAACGTCATTCCTGCCGCCAAGAAGGCAGGCGCCAGGCAAGGATTCCATCAAGACGCGTCGCTTGAAAAGAATAACTTGTTTTTTTCTCTTTGAAATGTATAGGTGCACGACCGCGTTTTCCAGGAATGTTTTGCAGTGCCCTTTGCGTGTTAAGGCTTCGCGGGGCGCGGGCGCGGGTGTGGCGAAGTGAGGTGGGGAGGGGGTGAGTCGTTAGCCCTGCGGCCATAATTAGGTGCCAGCAGGCCGGCCTGTGAAATCTGAAGCTCCAGGTGAAGGAAATGACGCGCATCCTGTTGGCAAAAAAAAGAACTACACCGGATAGGAGCGCGCGAAAGGGAAAAAGCGCGCGTGAGCCGCCGGCGGGCAGAGTGCGCTTTTTGGATTAGAAGATGGACTCCCTTCGTAGCGCGTGCCTGTTTATATTTGCGGAGAATGTTTGTTCTTTTTTCCTCCCGCAGGGCAAGAAAGCACAACAAACACCTAAATGGTTGAGTTGCAGACTACTAAGAATTCACCCCACTCCGCCCCCCTACCACCCCCTCCATCAGACTCTGGAGAAAGGGAAAGAGAAAAAAAGAAGAGGATCCTTTGTAGAAGCGGGAGGAAAATTCGGAGTGGCCTGCGCCAGAGAGGAGAGAGTGAGAGAGAGAGCGAACTTATGATGCGAGCGCGGAATCTTCTCTCCCAGATGTGAGAAAGGCGGGAGAAGAGGGGGGAAAGGAAGGCATTTGTGCGACGCTCTTAGCGATGCATGTCTTTTTTAAAACGACAGATGAAGGATGTGCTTTTATTTTGGAAAAGATGCAACCCCGGAACACCGTTATCAAAAGCAGTGCAAAATATAAATGTAGTAAGTATTTTTCCTCTTTTCGTGTGTAAGTGTTGCGAAGTCGAGAGAGACGCCAGGCTGAACAGGTATTTGCAGCGGCGTCCCTCCCGTGTGCACCGGAACGTTCGCTGGACCAAAGGATGCTGTCGGGGCGGGATGAGAGTACGGCCCCATCCCCCAGCTTCCACCCGGGGAGCCATTGTTTCCTCAACACTTGCGCCCCAACAATGGGAGCGAACGGACTCGGCGGTACTTTCTGCAGCGGCCAAACCAACTTGGGCCTCTCTTAGCCCCACTCCCTCAAGGGGTGAGCCCCGCCTCCGCTCGCCGTTTGTTCGTCTAGTGATGATGGTGATGATTATTACGATTATGATTATTTCTTTTCAACAAAAGCGCCGCCGCCAACACCCCTCACCTTCCCCGGAAAATTATTACGAGCACGTCATCAACTTCAGTGTTGCTAGATGGGTGGGAACCCTGCTGTGAAATGTGCAAATTAAAGTCGCAGCAGTACTTAAATGTGTTGGACACATTCGCAGCTAAGCGATCAGGTTTTGCAGCCAAAGTGCGCAGTCAGACTTTACATCATGCCTCCGAATTGTCCAATTATCGAACACACTAAATGGCGAGGGACAATTTTTGTACGTAGGCTGGATGTGTCTTTGAGCACATCTAACCCAAATGCAAATTTGCATCCAAGTCACATACAAAATATAGCATTTGTACCTAGCCTAGGTACACTTTGTACCACTGTACAGACAAACTTGTATCTGATGAAGATGTGCTCAAAGACACATCTAACTAAGGTACAAAAATTGTCCCTCCCCATTTAGAGTGAATATGTGCATTGGTCGCTCTTAGACTAGTAGAGCAGTTCCGCACGGTAAAAAGAACATCTTGGAATTCAAGTAGATTCCTTGGTAACTGTCTTGAAATCCAAGTAGATCACTTGAAATCCAAGAGGTCTTTTTTACCGTGCGGTTGAAAGTTTATGGTTGTAAAAGTATTTGGATTAGACTACTCACCGTTGAGCACGTGCACAGCGACGCTGGCGCCGGCCAGGCTGCCCACGGAGCACGAGTAGTTGCCGGAGTCCTTCTTCTGGGCGTGGCGGAGCGTGAGGGTCGACACCACACGGCCGTTGACGCTACTGGCGTTGGTGCTAAAGGTGGAGCGGGAGAGAGAGAGAGAGAAAAGAAAGTTTTATTTTTAAGAGGGTGCGTTCGATCCACACTAGCAGCGGAAGGGACCCAAAGGGGACGGCCGCACCAAACACCGGCGGCGGCGGGACCCTCCACCCCCCGACCCCCACCCCGCTGGAAAAAGTTTCTCCAGGCCGAACGTGCTTTAAGTCGAGTGGTCGTCCATGTCTTATCTGGAGTGACACAGCTGGCCGTGCGGGGACAGCCCACGGCTGCCGCTGTGTGTCGCACTTAAAACTGCTGCGCTTACCCCACCCTATCCGGCCACCCCGCCCCGCCACCCCCGCCAAACTCAACTCTTTTCGGATGCCTCGTGTGCTGAGAGGCCTCCAGGCGCGTCGGCCCTCGACTAGGAGTCGCCCGACGTGACGACAACCACGATTGCAAAGAATGATGGAGTTGAAAGCTGTCACCAAACTGTCCGCAGTGCCCCGCGTGCAACCCCTCGCCTGCGGGCAGCCCCAATCCCAACTGACATAGTCCATTTTCATATAGACGAGGACGAGAGCCCACATGAACGAAAAAAAAACACACATCTAAAACACAGCAAAATTAAAATCAGTGCGCTTACGATATAATTATTGAGGACAACTTGTGTCATCATGCTCGTTCTGACGAGCTATTTCCAACCAAGGGACAACTCACTTGCCAGCCATGAGATGGGGACATTTTATTGCGCCGTCTGCCCTGTCCGTTGCCGCCCCCTCTGCCTCTGTCGCGCGCAGGCGTCCCCCGCCCCCGGCCCGCCCCCGCCCGCCTGCACTCCCGGCCCGCCCCCGGAGATGACAGCCGCGCTTTGGGTCCGGCCGAGTGGGTGAAGGGAAAGGGTCCCCGACTCGAACACGTTAATAAGAGAGAGACGCGGGGAGCGGTCGCGGGGGGTGACAGCAGAGGAAAGAAAGACGGACCGCAGACAAAGGGCGCCGCAGGAAACAAACAAAACGCGCCAACAAAGGGCGGCTAAGTACGAGCGCGGAGCGGCGCGCCCAGAACCAAACACCGGAGACCAAGGAAATTTTAAAGTGGCGGCAAAACTTTGTAGCGGGGGCGGCTCCTTTCCTTCCGCGCCGCGTCTAGAGGCTCCCGCCGAGACTCCCGGGCCGCGGCCGCGACGCTCCTCTCATAAATAACTCCCACAATAACGCGCGCGGGTCCCAGCCACTCGCCCCGCGCCGCCGGCCACGCGCCGCGCCACCGAGATTGGGGCAGTTTCACTAACCTCACCTCCCACCAAAAACACTAAAAGAAAACACGCGTTCTGCAACAAGAAGCACGCGGCACAATGCTTCAGCCTACCGACACTGGAAAAACAAAAGTGTAATTTAATCTAATGCTTTTATTGGCACATGATACCTCACAAGACCCACACGTTAAAAACGACGTCCTGGTATGACGAGTGGAAAAACCACGACGCTCCCCATGCATTTCTTCCATAAGACGTCTTTGGTTTTTCTAAACTATTATGAAAATCAGGACGTCATTTTTTTACCGTGTAACCATAGGCATAAATATCGCTAATTAATGTTATAAATGAAGGCGTTACTGAAAAAGTTTAAGAAGGCGTTACGTAAACTCAAATGAATTACCACAAACACATAACTAGTCCAGATTAATTGTCTGCGTATACGTGTACGCTTCATTTGCGTCAACCCCTTACCTCCTTACTACTCCAATAGGCCGAAATGAAATTAAGGATCTCATCCAAAACAACGTCGATTGTTCCCCAATCACTTCCTCGCAGTTGCCCGTCCTCTCGTGCGGAGCGGAGCGGACTGCTTTGCATAAAGACTGGAGGGTGACACAGCTTAGCCCTTGTTGTCCACGGTGGCCGCTCGTTTCGTGCCACCACCCCCTTCTTCTCTTCCCCCCGCCTCCCTTTCCCCTGCTCCATAGCATCAATAATAGGCTGTTCTAAAGTCCAAACAATTGTGCGGGTGCCGACCCATCCAACTTGTGGCCGCGTAGAGCACTTTAAGTCGGTCCGCCGCCTCACGGAAAGAGAAACAACGGAGAAGTTAAACACGTTTTCAAGCCCAAAACTGTCCCTGATCTCCCTTCTCGGCATATACACAAAATTCATCTATTTTTAATTATTTTTTTACCCTATAATGTTGGAAAAAAAGGACAAGAGAAACACTCATAACAGATAAACGTTAAAGAACAATCAAATTTTGGACTGATTTAAATCGTAAATGTAAATTTTTCGACGAGTAAACACATTTGTCTCACCTGACGCCTGCACCCGCCTGGCTCAGTGGCTGGCGACCGCGACTCCAGTGCACCGTGTCCCCCGGGCCCTCCAGCTGGCCGGCCAGGCACGTCAGCTCCACGGCCGAGCCCGCCTTGTAGTACCGCTCCGACACGGGGTGCATCTGCTCATCCACGATCTGCACGTCCGGCGCTGAAACACACGAGCAGGTCCATTTGGCCAAAGCGTCTCCCTTTGTGCAGCCACACGGAGACAGACGGGGGCTAGTGCGGTGCGATAACCGTCAGAGAGCACCACAGGGAACGCCCACCAGACGGACCAGACGGACACGGAAGGCTAGAGAGAGGGACCTAATTAAGTAACTAGTCTCTCCTCCTGGCGCAGTCAGTCCTGTCGCGGGAGAGCCGTCTGAACATCATCTTCACCTTCAACTTCAATGAGGGTTAAGACGTCAGTTCACAGAACTTGAATTCGGGGAATCGAAAAGAACAAAAGAGCCGCAGAATAAGGAGAAAGCTTTACTGTGCTTGCGGGGGAAAGCTTTGAAAGCAATACAACACAGTTACCGGGGGAGAAGAGGCCCGGTCATTCCTTTCTTTTCTGCTGGAGAAGGGCAGCGCGGTCCAGCCAGTCTCACCGGTGCGCCTCGAGCGCCCCTCCTCTCCTAGTTTTTATACTCCCTACTTGACTCTTTTTACTACCGGTCGCCTCTCTTTTCCTCTCATCTTTGCCAGATTTTTTTCGTCCCTTGTGACACGACGGCTGCTGTGCGCAATCAAAAGCGACGCAGTCGGGGGCGAATAAGACTTATATAGGGGAGAACGAGAAAAGAAATAGAGTGCACCTTTTGTTGAGCGCAGAGTCGGCGATATCAGGACAACTCCCCCACCCCGTCCTCCTCCTCCCCTCCTCCCACTCTCCGCATAGACCCCAGAGTATTTCGAACCTTCTTCTCCGCAGCCACACCCCTCTCCACCTTCGCTCTACCGCACGGCACATTAGTCTTCATTCCACACGGCGATCGGCAGCGGGCTGCATTCTATCTATCTATCTATCTATCTATCTATCTATCTATCTATCCATCGATCCATCCATCCATACATCTATAGGGTACGCGCCCTCCTCTGCAAAAGTCTTTTTCCCTCTTTGCCCTCTTCATTTGCGCAAAACTATCCGTTCAAGCTGGCGGCCAGCCAAAGTGTCTCCCTCTCCCCTAGCTTTGCCTCCGGCCAGGACCGGCCAGCCGGCCTTCACTGCGTTCAAAAACATGGCGCCTTCCGCGACCAAGCGCCGCCGCCGCCCCCGACGAGTACGAAACTCTCTCTCTGCACTGCACAACGAGACCCGCTCAAGTACGTCGTAATTCACAACATTCCCATCCCAGCATTTGCGAACTGCACAGTAAGCTGAATTCGTTTGCGCCTTTGTTGACTGGGTGCTGGTTGCTCCTGCTGCTGCTGTCAGATAGATCGACGGCGTACAAAGAAAGGTCGACGGCGCCTCTTCGCCCCCGCCTCGCTTTCTCGTCGCCTGTTTTCCCCTGACGACCGGCGCGGGGGCGCGGCACTGTACCACTGCACGCCCTCCATGTCGACGTCCCCATCACCAGTCCAATCCGGGCCTGAAGGCGCGCAGGGGTCGCGCGGGGGCTTCGGCACAGAGCCGGGCTATAGAGCCGCCCGAGCCCGGCGCCGGCCGCTGGACTGGGCTGGTCTTGGCCAGCCCCGCGGGGACCGGTGCGTGGGCGTCAGGAGAGTGACGCCACCGGCCCGACCGGAGGCCCAATGAGCCCCTGAGCACCCCCTGGAGGACGCCGAGGAGACCACGAGCCTCTACTAGGCCTGCCGCGCCGCGCTCGGCGCTCGGGTCACCCCCAGCCAGCTTGTCAAGGTAAGGGTAGAGGCCGGCCTCCTCGGCTGCCGCTGCCGCGAGGTTGGAGGGGGGGGGGGGGACGGCTCCCAGCGGAGGGCGAAGCGGGTAATGCCGTGGTAATATCGGGCGCGAGATAACAAACTCGAGGATAAGACATCAATCTTTCTAGTTATTGTTTTTTTATTTTTTGAAAAAAATCTGATTATTTTCCTAACATACTTTCCTGGCTAAAATCCTAAAAATACATGTTTCGGGTTACATTTCATAAAAATCAGCATCCAATTTTACCCATTTTCTTTTTAGAACCTGGTTTAAAACTGTTTCAAGAGGCATCAGGAAAGGCGTGGTACCCGGCGGGGGGAGTTGAAAGGGTGCAAAAGAAAGGGTCTGTAACCGGGTCGGTGGCAAATGGGGATAACGAGGTAACCAGGAGGGCGGGGAGGCCATGAGCGACGGTCGGGGCCCTGGCACCGATTTGTCACCAACGCTGAACGGTGCATGGCAGTACACGGGGAGAGAGAGAGGGGCGAGGTGAGAGGGAGGGGGGGGGGGGGTGCAGCAGGACCCACCCCACTAGACCGGGCCAGGGGTAGTCACAGCAGCCCGCCGCCGGGCTCCCTCGGGCCCAGGAGGAAATCAAGCCTAATTACGGGCTGAGCGACGGCCGAGGCGGCCAGCGGCGTCCCGTCCCGTCCGGGTCCAGATCTGACAGGTGAGACGGATGCTGGGGCTCGGCGGGCGTGGGGCGGGCGCGGGCTATGACGTCATCGATGAACGTGAGAGCGGGGGCAGGCGACGGGCCGGGCCGGGGGCGTCAGGAGGAGACCGACTGTGCGAGCTGCGGGCCGGGCCAGCGCCGGGAAGGGGAGGCGCTCACGAGGAATTCCACGGCATTCCCTCCCGGCACTCCCATCCATTAGACACGCCCCCCCCCTCCCACCCCACTCGCGGCCGAGAGGAACTTTGACGGCCGCATAGAGATGCTGGACCGCGCGCCGCAGCTCCTCTCCTCGAGGCGAAGCGGGGGAACAGGAAGGAGCGCAGCTGCGGCGCCTAATGATGCCGGTGTACCGGATGTAACTGTGAATACGCAGCAGTGCTGCAGGTTTGCCCACTCTTTATACCCGTAAGGGGCCATGGCCCCTGCGGCCAGAGTATGCAATCCCGCAACACTGCTGCGAATTCACAGTTGCACCCGGTATATTTGATACACTATCCATTGCGACCACGAATGTGAAATAAACTGCATAAAAATGATGGAGTGAAGCATACAGAGATAGAGACCACACCCACCTGTGACCCGGAGGTTGACGATCCTGGCGAGCAGCGGGTGCGTCGTGACCTGGCACTCGTAGCGGCCCTGGTCGCGCAGCGTGACGGGCGAGATCTCGAGCCGCCAGTCGTTGGGGTAGCGGAAGCGCAGCGCCAGCCGCTGGTCCGACGAGTAGGTGGTGCCGCCCACGGTGAGCAGGTGCATCTGCTCGCCGCGCCGGTGCACCCACGTGACCTGCGCACCACATTGGCCAAATGAGTTGTGCGTAGAAAACATCTCAGGAAGGTTCGTGTACCGGGTGTAACTGTGAATACGCAGCAGTGTTGCGAGATTGCATAATCAATATGGCTGCAGGGGCCATGGCCCTTTACGAGTGTAAATTAGTAGGCAAACCCTCAACACTGCTGCGTATTCACAGTTACATACGGTCCATTTACGACCTAATTTCACACTTCTCGTACAAGTGTATCCTATGACTTTGTCCGCCTTCCATTCCATCATTCGATATGCCAGCAAAAAAAGCACAATAGCAGGGCACGGATTCGCTTTGCCATGCTCGAATGACAGACTCGACGTATTTTAAAACAAGAGACGGGAGATGTGGGATGTGAGAGGGGGTATGGAGGCAGCGCGAGACGCGGCCCGCTGTTAAAAATGTCTGTACACGACAAAAACCTAAGGTTTAAGGGAGAGTTTTCCATGATGTGTGTCGTAAAATTGTAATTTGAAATGGTAATTTTACAAGGCACTTAGTACGTACTTAAAGTTGATCGAGAGGCAAGAACGAGCTTGTCAAAAAGTTACAACGTATTATGTGAATAAAAATTAAAACAAATATTGTAACTTTACTAGACTATTTTTCACAGTGGCCTGCGGTGGACCCGGACCCGCCTGCTATTACTGCCAAATAAACTGCAGCTGGCCTGGCCAGCTTGAAAATTCCTGACAAGGCCTCACGCCAAAGTGTCAATACGCGCCAAAAGGAGTAGTAGCTCTTCCATATTCATGGGCAATCAAACCACCAAGTTCCTCCAGGCAGCTGGCTGGCTGGCAGCGGCGGATCCGACTTTTTCCTTTAAAATATTTGAGCTGGTGATGAGTGCGCCGCGCCGGGCGTACCAAGCGGGGCGTCCGCACCTGGCCTCGCCTTCATCATCAAACGCATGCTCATTGAGACGCTGGGGAGGGGAGGAAAACCCTGACCTTGGGGCGCTCTGCGCATCCCTCTCCCGGGCCCGAATGACCCGGGCACTCGGAGTGACCCGAGCCGACGGGGGGTTCAAATACCGGAGAGGCTAGTCCCTCATGCCTGAGTGGAGAGGCGCGCGGAGCGGGAGGGCTGGACCGCCAGGCCCTATGGAGAAAGGCCTACTGCAGGCCTTGAGCCGCACCCCATCCCCCATCAGCAGTCGTCCCCCGCAGTCGAACATTGAGCGAGAGGCGGGCGGCTCTTGAGCGGCTCATTGAGCTGGTCAGTGCACCAGCCCGCCCGCCTCGGTCGTGTGGCTCCTCGCCGGGCTCTCCGGGGAAATATGCCTTGAGCCGCATGTGGGGCTCGGCGGCGGGGACGGTGGCACCGCGTCAAATGTATCCGTCGGTTGAGCTCTATTATTAAACGCATCTCCCACAAAACAAAGTCAACACGGTTGCCTCACGTTTCGGTTTTCCTATAACTTTTAATCAATTTTCCCCTGAACTAAAAAGTTGGCTCTCCGGATGTGCCTGCTCCTGCGCCAAGGTGCGTCTGTAAGCCCCCCACCCCTATTCCACTCCTCCAAGGAGGCGCAGGGCGAACTGATTAATCGCGCCGTCGGTCCGAGCCGCTCCTCGCCGGAGACGGCGACAGGAAAGACGAGCAATGACTTTCTCAAACCTCCAAAAACTCGAAACTTTTCTCCATTAGTTAAGCGGTGTGGTTGGGGGAGGGCCACTGGGACCCCCACTCCTCCTTCCTCCCGCCGAGGCGCGGCCATCACAAACGGCGCCCCCATTAACCGCCCGGCCAAACATTGCACCGCCGCCACTACTTGCTCGACACGCCTGTACTGCTGTGGGGCATGGGTGTGCCCTCGAGGAGGCAAACCCCCACCCCCCTCAGGGCGACGAGCAGCGCCCCCCGCTGCCCCCCCCCCCCTCACTGCGAGGTGCTGCCAATCCCCGGCGGTAATTAGGCGCGCGATGAAGAACGCCCCGTAATTGACGTGGAGTGATGACGGCTAAAATGGCGTCCCCGGGGAGATACAAGGGGGACGCAAAGGGGGAAGAGCCAATACACGGTCCGCGACGCGCGCGCCGTCATGTTATTGTGCTTAAACACACTTATTTTTATTAAATTTATTTGGGTGGCTGCGCTGGGAAAGTTTTCCAATCGCTATGAACGATGAAATAAACACGCTAATAGCTATGCTGCCCCTTCCCTTCAACAATCCCCGAACTAGCGGCCCATCGGCACACGCCTCACTTCACATATACGGTGCGACTTTTTAACGTGCCGAGAACAAAGCGAGACACGGCCAGCAGGTACACTCGTGCCAGCAAAAATAAACCGTCCCATCAATGAAACGGTACTGAAAAAACACAACACATACTCTGATATCTCTGCGATCCCCCAGCCCGCCCCTGCCACCACGCCTCACTGATCGTCCAGGCAGTTGAGCCGATACGGCACGGCTTAAGACGTCGGGGCAAGCACTGGGATGGCTGCCGGTCGAGCAGCACCGCCACTACGCTGGCCGCAGGGAAGAGAAAAGGGGGCGGGGAGAGGCTGTGTGTTTTTCTCCCCCAAATCCGCCCCAACTGCTATAATATATTTCGCTCCTGCATCATTATGCAGTACAATCCTTGAAGCACGACCCCCCCCCCCTCCACACTCCCTCCCGCCCCTGCCAAAGTCGCTTCTCCATTTTCAGGATCCCCCCGTTCTTGCCAACCCGTCTCAGCAGCAGTATCTAAGCGCGCTTAGGAGGGGAAGTGGCTGCTTTTGCCGAACCTTCAAATTGGGGGCTAAAGCAGTGGCGGGGCGTTGGCGTGGCGTGGCGCGCGGACGCGTCGGATAAAGGACTCTGTCGACGAAGTTGGCAACAATGGGGAGGGATATATTGTTGTGAATTGCAGAGCGCCCTTTATCTGTGTGCTTATAAGCCCAACAGGGTGGTGGCGGAGGCGGAGTACACCGCGAAGAAAGCGGGGGAGAATGTGGCCGAATAAAAGTTATTTTAGTAATTACAGAGCACTATTACTACGCAAAAAATATTTGTATGGGTCAGTTACAGGAATAATTGACCTGATAACTAGAAATTTAAGCCTTTTATTTTATTCCTTCAAAATCATATGTGGGCATTAACGTAACCCGTAAATTCACAAAGCCACTGAAATGATGAGGGAAATTGAGCCTCCCGGCCCACTTGCCACTTTACTCAAGATCAGTACCAGTAGTATTACCCCCGTTCCACTTCTTCACACAGCTTTTCCTACCCTGAATATTTTGTCCTGCATATTACCCGCCTTGTAAAATGATTGCAAACTATACTCTTTGCAAAGTTGCAAAAAAATTTGCGAACCTTGTATGGCAAAGAATTAGTTCGTATTGCAAAGAAAATATTTTGCAATACGAGGCTATTCTCTGCAAGTATTTTGCAGTGCGGGACGGACACGGCTCGTTGACTGACACGGGGCCGCGAGGGCCACGCGGTCCGCGGGGCGGCACCCCGGACTGTGCTGGCGGGGACGCACAAAGCATTGACGCTGTCGCACCGCCAGCAGCACCAGCCAGCCGCCTCCCGCCCGTCGCGCCCGTCTCCCGACTGTTCATTTTCTTTGTTTTGAGGTCGCCGCGCTGCGCGGGCTGCGCGGGCTGCGCGGGCTGCGCTCAGTGCGCCGGCTCTCATTCCCGCACGTCCAGCACCAGCCTCATCACGCCGCGAGGGGACAAAAGCTCCCCCGCCCGCGCTGACCTTTAGAACGTACAGCTGCTCGCGACACAAAGCGGCGCGCGACGCGGCGTCGGGTTCAAACACCGGACGGCTCAAATTCTTTTTATACTAGTATCCTTCTCCTTCTCATCCCCTCCTGCCCCCCCCCCCTTTCTCTCTCTCTCTCTCTCCCTCGCTTTCCCTCCCTCTCTCTCATGAGACCCTGCTCAAAAGCGCCATTACGAACCAGAGTCGACACAGGTTTTTCCTTCCCGGCAAATTTGATTCCAATTACTCTCGAGAGCGTAAAGGCGCAGCTTGGGCCGCAGAAAGCAGCGAGGCAGAAGTGTGTGTGTGTGTGTGTGTGTGAGTGTGTGTGTGTGTGTGTGCGTGCGTGTAAGAGATGGAGAGGGGGGGGGGGGAGTTAGAGGGGGAGCGCGAGTGAGCGGAGCGCGGCGGGGCGACCGGGCGAAACCCTCCCTCCGCTCGGATAGCTGGCCGGACGATGGCCGCCTCCGTGAAGAAGATTCCGGATCAAGGATCCGGGATCTGGCGGGGGATTATTGGATTCCCAGCGGGACGCGCGGAGACGCGGGTGGGCGTGGCGGAGCGTGGCGGCGGGTTCGGTTGACATGACCGGCATCTCCTCACACACACTCCGCCCGGGCAGTGTCTCCATTCACTCACAGACCACACCGCCTCGCCTCGCCCCACCCGGGAAAATTTCTGGAATGCTCTGATAAACGGAATGATCTTGAGGGGATGGAGAGCGCCAAAGAAACTTTTCACGAATGAAGTAAAAGGCTGGAATCGCGTATTTTAGATGCATGGTGGACCATATCGGCCAGGACACCTGACAAAACAAAAAAAAAAAATTTTCAGCAGTAAATCGGGTGTAACTGTTCCCAGCAGTGTTGCTGAGTTGCATACTCAGCATGCACTGATAAATTAAGTGTTCAACTGCTCAACACTTGTAAGAGTGCAACTGCAAGTTAAATACTTGCAAGCTGTGCAACTCCGTAGTCTTACACTTGCAAGTGTGCAACTCAGTAGGTCTGCACTTGCAAGTGTGCAACTCCTCGGTTGAACACTTCCTTAGATTGGACGCTTACTGTGTAGGAAGTGTTTAACTGAGGAGTTGCACACTTGCAAGTGCACACCTACCGAGTTGCACACTTGTAAGTATTAAACTTAAGTATTTAACTTACAGTTGCACACTTAGAAGTGTTGATCAGTTGAACACTTAGTTTATCAGTGTGGCCGCAGGCCATGGCCCCTTACAGGTGTAAAAAGTAGGCTAACCCGCAACACTGCTGCGTATTCACAGTTACACCCGGTATATTGTATACTGATGTACATGCCATGTACACTAAAGAACAGTGCCCCGTCCTTGCCGACTGCTCGTTCCAACTATTTACCTACAGGGATGAATTTTACTACTGTGGATACACAAAGGTATTTTCTTTTACCTGGCAAGTAGTTTTACTGCAGTGAAGAAGTAAAGGTTGTCTTTAAAGCTTACTTCTAATAACAGTGTGCTGGGAAATTTACAAACACCCTGTACTCCAAAATTTTAGTTTCCTCTGTATATCTAAATTTAAAAACAAATTCATCGCACACAGGCGTTTACGGGTTACTACTGAAGTAAAATTACCCACAAAAGTTTTAAGGAGACAGCGAATATCGAGCCACTCCTTTTCGCGACGTGAACTAGCACTGGCTGTGAGCCCCCGCCCGTCCGCCCAGGTCGTGCGGTCAGCTCGCTCGCCAGGCCGCAAGGCCGCGACGCTTCTTGCAGAGAGCCGCTTCGCCTCGCCGTGGGGATTATTTGTGAGAGCTTTTACGGCGGTGACTGTAAGGGGCGCGGGGCGTGGCACAGGGGCCGTGAGCGCGCGTTTTATGCGCGACCAGCCAAACTGACGAGAGAGAGAGAGAGAGAGAGAGAGAGAGAGAGAGAGAGAGAGAGAGA